CGCTGAAATAAAGGAAGTACATATGTCAGGTTGACAACTCCAACATTATCAAGACGTTTACACTTCATTTGTCGGATAGAAGTTCTATTGCACAACATTTCAAAACACATTCCTGTCCATCTTCACAATACAAGAAGATACTTGTTCCCAACACCAATATAATGCACCCTGAATATAATAAACAAAAGCTTCAAATTTTCGAGGCCCTTTATATCAAAACCATCCAACTGACACTGAACAAACTTTATTAGTAGTATAGTAGAAAGTTTTAAAATGCATTTGAGTCACTAAAATTTAATACCATTTTACAACTTACCATTTCTGGTTATCGCCCTTGGACTGTGAACACTTGTTTACAAAACATCGTAGCCACAACGGATAATTTAAAAATGATTATCGCATAGCGCGTTCGGGCGTGTTAGCAAAATCACTGTCAAAACGATTATAGTTACAAAAAGTTTGTCTTCGTAATTCACCCCTGTGGATGATCTCGAAGGACATAGAAGGTACTTGGGTTTATAAAAAAATACGACGACTTCCTTAACATCGAGAGGTTAATTAGAGAACTAGAAAGGATTTATTATGAAAATAAACAAATAATATATCTATATTATTTAATGAAACATTCTATCTATCTATCTATCTATCTATCTATATATATATATATATATATATATATATATATATATATATATATATTTTAGGCAGTATATTTTCATTCAAACAGGTTTGGTTAAATAATCTAGAGTAGGTACGAAAATGAGATCGCTGGAAAATGAGCATAGCAGCATAATAACGGCCTCAAACTTGATGAAAAAATTTTTTTTATCGTCTAAATGTTTATGTTATTATCAAGAGGAAAGATCAAAGTATTTGTTGATTATTTTTTTACATTTTTAATCATTTCTAGCACGTCCAAAATTTTCATTAAAAATCTTGTATTTTTTTTATCAGCAAAATTGTCAGAAAATTGATTGTCAGCCATGTGACATGTGCGTGATTTCATCAAGCACTGACATATTACGGGAGGAAAAGTTATAGTATGGAAGGTCACAAGTGACAGTTTAGCTTTATGTGAACAACTTATTTACCTCGTTATTTTTAAGTAGGCATAGCATGATAAAAACGGCTTTAAACTTGACGAAAGCAGAATTTTATTGTCAAAATGTTTATGTTACTACCAACGCAAACCAAGTGAAGGACTATTGTTTTCATGATGCTTCCGGTCTTCCGTATATTTCAATTAAGCTATTTTTGGACACAAAAAAAACAAAAACATGTTATATTAGATTTTTATCTATTTGCAGATTGCTGATTGTAACCAGCTTTATTTTGTAATCTGTAATGATATTTATCTACTTAATAACACTAAACTGTATAACATTTTCATTCATTTTAGAATATTTAACAACATTAATGTAAAAAGAATAAAATAATTTAAGAAATAACAAATAATTGTTGTAAAAATTTATTTTTCATCGAAAACTTTTTTGCTTTCAGACAATATTATCCGTATTCATAAAAACAAGTAAAAGCAACTAAAAGCTTTTAAAATTAAATAATAATTTGTTTTATTGAATTTTGTATGTTACAATTCAGAGCTGATTTTAAGGTAGAAGGGTGTCAACTAGAAAAAAATGATTTGCTTTCCTCAAATTAAATAATTAATCACTAAAAATGTATGATTTGAATTTCAAGAATTTTCATAAAATTAGTTGTGGTAGTGGGTAATAAATATAAAGAATAATTTAACATGACTTTTAAAAAATAATTTCTATCATTTATGAATAGTTTCTGAAAGCTTCATTAAAATCGGACAATTATTTTTACTCTTGCAAGATTTTCAAAATTAATGACTGCCATTAAAAAAAATGCACAAAAAATCTGCCATGTTATTTAGTAGGACATTCGATGATGAAGAGAAACGAGGTTTTTCAATCAGAAGTTAGAGTGCTCTAATAAATTTTGAAAAATAATTAAAAATTACTTTGTTCTTTCCTCTTAATAAAAACATAAACGTTTAGACGATAAAATTTTGTTTTCGTCAAGTTTAAGGCCATTATTATCTTGTTATGCTCATTTTTCAGTGATCTCATGTTGGTACTTAATTTAGAGACATCATGTCGATTAGATTTCGTTGTGATCCTTTTATGGTCTCGGATTAATTTCTTGATAGCTTTAGAACATTTTTAAAAAATTATAAGAAAAATATCAAAAGTTGGTTTCTGTTTGTGGATCGGGTGATGATGCTTGTATTTTCAACGCTAACTGCTTGTGTATTATTGATGATGATATATATATATATATATATATATATATATATATATATATATATTAAACCTAGAGAGCCAGACAAACCTACCATTTCACCTAAGCGACGATCCGCTTAGGTGAAACCTTGGTAGGTTTGTCTGGATCTTTAGGTTTAACTAAGTCTGGTCTACTTAACATATTGAGCACTTTATTTAGTTATTTTACTTGTAACGTTTTTTTTTTTTTCTTTGGGCTTTGGAGTTGCATGATAGACGATTATTTTCGGCTGACGTACATGTTCTTGGTTCTTTCTTTTTTTATACCTTTTTTGCCCTTTGGTATTGGTTTGATTATTCGCAAATCACGACACCGAAGGTTTTCCAGACGAGTATAATTTCTTATACTTCTTATTAATACTAGTATATATATATATATATATATATATATATATATATATATATATATATATATATATATATATATGTGTATTTAAGCAGCAATCCTTCTTTCAAGCACATTTTATTGAATACGACAAACAAGGTGCTTTTATTTAGTTTTTTTTACACAATTTCTCATGCGATCTAATAATTTTTTTCTTTTCAGATGATAAATTATATAAACACTGTCCGAATGTTCTTTTATCCGAGCCATTTAAAGGATTAAATAACTTTTAATTTAACTGTTAAATGAGAAATATTTTGTTGTATGTATGTTTTATAAAATGTTTTCATTTTTCAAAACACGGTCAAGATATTGTGTCCATGTTCAAAGTTGCTTTTTTTTGTTGTTATTAATAAGGTTCCATTATTTTTTTTAGCCTTTTTTGCATGTAGATGAGGCTATTATATTATAAGCTTCTGTTAATATATGCCGTTCTTTGTGATTCTGCAGCAACAGTTCACAAGGTTTAGAGAAGTAGTCATTGTCAAGAACCACGGGGTAAGATAAAATCGAAGCAACAAGTATAAACTGTGGATTGAGTGCCTGAGTAAATGATAATTCTAATATTAGTCATTTCCTTAAAAGGAAACATTCAGCATTCATTGACCAAGAAGCCAATACTGCCGTTGGTCGAAATTTGTCAATTCTTTCTCTTAAAACAATTTTTTCAAGGAAATAGGTTTCTCAAGTCCAGTAACTGTTACCGCTTTTTCCAGTATTGTGTGGTTGTTTTATTCCTAATCTTTTATTTGAAGTGGTGTGGAACATATTGGTCTTGTCATTATTTTCTGATGTAATGGAATAACCTGCCACCCCCATGAGTGGCGGCACTATAGGTGGTAACACCTATAAATATCCGTTAGGACAGTGGACAGCAGAGTTGAGCTGGGATCTTTCCCAGCTGCGCTTGTCGAACTCTCTGCCTTCGGGCTGAGAGGAACCCGGACGAAGCTATGCCGAAGGGCAGAGTCTCGTCCGGGGAGGTAGACAGACCCGATCCTATTTATGCAGGGTCTACGGGAATTTTTTGGGCGAGCCTCCGGGCTCGAGAACCCCACATTAAATTCGGTCTTGTGCCACATGTGACTGCGTGGAGCAGTTGCTATATAGCGTCGAGCTGGGATCTGCGAGACTAGCGGCCTTCCGATAGCAGCACGCACACGACTGTAATGACTTGCGACGACCCTGCGCATAACTTTTATTTCCTTGCTTATTGTACTGGCTTCTACAATAAACCTGTTACTATTTATCCACCGTGTTTGTCCATTCTGTATTCCTATTTGAACGGAATATAACATTTTCTCTACGCGTTACACGTGCTATCCATTTTAGTTGTCATCCCTGTTGGTAGTCCGCAAGTGATGCCCTTTTTTTTTCTCTGGTACAGCTGTTTTTATTTGTGAATCTGTAGTACCAGTCCAAGATGGTCTTCGCTAAGATTTACAGGCTTCACTCGCTCAGAAAAAGGTCGCTTAACGGCGATGTTGATATTTATTGCGGGATTCTATGGTGTTCGGGTAAATATAAGTCACCAATTTGTAGTGGAAATCAGCATTTTTTATATGAGTATATGTACACATTATAGTAAATATTTATGTCTCCCGGAATATTTGTCCCGAAAACAATAGTGGCGGACTCATGTGAGTCCGGGAAAAATATGATATACACAAAACATGGAAAAGACATTAAAAACTAGCTTCAAGAATGTACTTACTTGTGTATTTATGCGAAAGAAACGCTTGGCATAGACACCTGTGTCTACGTGCGTCTGTGAGAGAGTACAAAAGTCAAGAGCAGGCCAAGAAAGCGAACACCGAACGCGCCTCGTCAACAGCGTTCTTTATCTACGTTCGCCTACATCTGGAAGCACTTCTCGCCTGTGGAACTCCCTCACCATTTCTTGTTTCCCTGATAGCTACAATCTCCAACTATTCAAATGTAATATCAATCGACGTCTCCAGATGTCCTGATCTTCATCCTTTCCTCTATCACTCCTCTTTGCTCTCGCCTCAACTCTCTGTAACCCCTTGTGTGCTAGTGGCTTCCTGCCTTGCTTGGGGTAAAACGCTTAAAAAAAAAGAGTAAAAACAAAGATAGATGAAGGAAATGCTTGATTTTTTAAAGACCTAAAGAGCGCCGTCCTTAGGGTCGTTTTTGGCAATGCCAAGTAAGGTAACCCACAAGTTTTAGACTGTTTTTCCAAAGATTTAAGATGTATTGATGTAAGTAAGTTGACGCAACAAAGACATTCGATTATGCTAAAGGTATTCTTTTTTTTTTTCTTTTTGACAGTCTTATCAAATAAGATGCGGAAATCGATTAGTTTTGTCTGTGCAGCTGCTTCAGTCTGGCTTCGCGCGGTTAAGGGAAGGAGCTATCCGACATTTTTTTTTTATCTTATTTATACAAACTGCTCATCGTGGCAAGAGTCTGTTCTTGTCATTTTGGGCGGGCGTCAGCAGTGTAAAACGAAGCCCCAACGAGTTTATTGGCCGAACTCAGTGTAAACATTAAGTTAATTGGAATGGACCTATTCGTCTGATCCATCCTGAGAAGTGGTCAACACCAACGAATTATGACTACGCACTTGCATGGGCTGGTGCTAAGTGATTTCTGAATTAATTTTGTTTGCCAATGGGAAAATTGTGGCTGATTGGGGAGAAGTGGAGGGAACAGAATAAAACAGTTTGCTAATAATACCTCCAACTTTTCCTCTTTTTTTCTTTCTTTCTTCTTGTTCTTTTCTTTCTTTCTTTTTTTTTTGCTTTCTTTCATACTTGCTTACCATTTTACTTTCTTTTTTTCTCTCTTTCCTATTCTCCTTTTCTTTCTTTGGCGCGTTCTTTCTTTATTTTCTTTTCTCTTACTCTTTCTTTCCTGTTTTCTTCTTTTTTTTCTTCTTCCTTTCCATCCTTTTCCTTTTTTTTTTTTTTTTTTTCTTTTGACTTTTTCTTCGTTTCTTTTTTCCTTCTTCTTTCTTCTTCCTTTTTTATATCGTTAATTTTTCTTTCTATTCTCTTTCTTTCTTTTTAATTTTCTTTCTTTTCCTTTTTTCCTTTATGATTCTTTTTTTTATTTTACTTTCTTTTTTCTTTATTTTTCATTTCTCACTCTTTTTTACGTTCTTTCTTGTTAGCAGTGGTGACGAGAATGGAAAGTAGTAAACACTTTTTCTTTCCTTCTTCTTTGTTTTCTCATTCATTTTTCTTTCTTTTCTCCTTTCTTTTTTTTGTGTAACCTAGAAAAGGTTACTGAATGAGGAATGACCAAAACTGAGGTTGGAAATGGAATGCTAATCTTTATAACATCAACAAAATACAATACTCGCCAGCGGCGTGAAATAGGTAAACCACTGCTAATGGTGGACTACGTAGACACCATATTACCCCCACTTACAATAGTGTCCAACGTATTTATGAGGATTTTGACATACCCATTAGTGTTTATAGGTACGGTATGTAACATTTTTCTTTCTCATTTCTTTGCCTATTTTCTTTCTTTCTTTTTTCTTTCTCATTCCTTTTCCTTTTTCTTTCGTCTTCCTTCTTTATTTCGTTCATTTTTCTTTCTTTCTTTCTTTCTTTCTTTCTTTCTTTCTTTTTTTTTTTCTTTCATTTTTCTTTCTTTTTATTTTTCTTTCTTTTCTTTCCTTTTTCTTTTTTTCCTCCATGTTTCCGTTTTGTTTTTCTTTCTTTTTCTTTCTTTTTCATTTCTCTATCTCTCTTTTTCTATTTTTTTTTTCTTATTAGCAGTGGTGAAGAGTGGAAAACAGTCAACACTTTTTCTTTCCTTTTTTTCTCATTCATTTTTTTCTTTTTCCTTTCTTTTTTCTTTTTCATTCTTTTTCTTTTTTCTTTCTTCTTTCATTTTTATTTCTTTTTCTTTTTTTTCATTTTCTTTTTTCTTTTTCATTCTTTTTCCTTTTTTTTCTCCCTTTTTTATTTCGTTCCTGTTACTTTCATTTTTCTTTCTGGTTTCTTTTTTCATTTTTTCTTTCTTTTTCCTTTTCTTTCTTTTTTCTTTCTTCTTTCATTTTTATTTCTTTTTCTTCTTTTTCATTTTATTTTTTCTTTCTTTTTCTTTCTTTTTCTTTCTTTTTTCTTTCTCATTCTTCTTTTTCCTTTTTTTCTCCCTTTTTTATTTCGTTCCAGTTACTTTCATTTTTCTTTCTTTTTCTTTTTCATTTATTTTCTTTTTTCTTTCTTTTTCCTTTTCTTTCTTTTTTTCTTTTTTCTTTGTCCTTCTTTTTTCTTTCTTCCTCCTTTTTAATTTCGTTCCATCTACTTTCATTTTTATTTCTTTTTCTTCTTTTTCATTTTATTTTTTCTTTCTTTTTCCTTTTCTTTCTTTTTCTTTCTTTTTTCTTTCTTATTCTTCTTTTTCCTTTTTTATCTTCCTTTTTTATTTCGTTCCAGTTACTTTCATTTTTCTTTCTTTTTCCTTTTCTTTCTTTTTTCTTTCTTTCTTTCTTTCTTTATTTTTAGCAGTGATGAAAAGAGTGGAAAGCATTGTTAACATTGAAGACATTTTTCATCCTTTAATAGGCGCGGATCTATAATAAAATCAATGTGCCATGTACTCATCAAAAACAAACTTGCACAATAAGACTTCCTCGCAATGCATGCTGGGTACTAGGTCAAAGTTCGAAGCTGCATATAAACAACATGGCATGTGAAAATGTTATGATCGGTGATTATCTGTTCAACTAACCCAAGCTAGGCACGCACAGACACGTTTACCCCAACCAAAAGCTGCATGACATTGCTTTTTGAATTGGGAATTTGGACAGGCGAAGTTTTCATGTTTGAAGACATAATATTGACTCAGTTATTATTCGTCTTTCTTTTTTCCCTGACATTTTCTTGTAATTACAGTTTTTAAAATCTGTGTTTTCAATACGCTTTAGGGACAACAGCTTGTTTCATAAAGGGGTTTAACGTCTTTGAGACTATTTCCAAAATGAAATGAAATCCCAGGTACTTGAATTAAAAATTTCTTAACACATCCGATATGTCTTCTTTCTTTCTTTCTTTCTTTCTTTCTTTCTTTCTTTCTTTGTATTTCAATATCGCGCGCTATCTCTCTCGCTATCTCTCTACCTCCGAAATTTAATATCTATCTATCTATCTATCTATCTATCTATCTATCTATCTATCTATCTGTCTGTCTGTCTATCTATCTATCTGTCTGTCTGTCTATCTATCTATCTAGCTAGCTAGCTAGATATCTCAGTCTGTTTTATCTCCATATTTTAATATCTATCTATCTATCTATCTATCTATCTATCTATCTATCTATCTATCTCAGTCTGTTTTATCTATCTCTATCTATCTATCTATCTATCTATATATATATATATATATATATATATTATAATTATTTTAAAAAAAAATATGATTCCTTCGCTACATAAGAGTTCTCATTTCAAAAACGAGAGCCGTAAACCTGAATATAATTATTAAAATTTAAATTGAATTAAAGTATTAAAATTATATTAATTAATTAATTAATATTATTAAAATTAAATTGAATTAAAGCCCTGTTTCATCCTCAAGCGAAAATTTAGGAAGATCTTCTTCTGTATGGAACACTGTTTTTTAAAAATAAAAACAAAAATACTAAAGAACCCCGGATTATTTACCTAATGTGTTCTTTCCTATTTTTCTACATATCTGCATTGCATATATACGCCATACATATATATATATATATATATATATATATATATATATATATATATATATATATATATATATCAGTCTGTTTTATCTATCTCCATATTTTAATCTATCTATCTATCTATTTCAGTATTTCTTTATTAACTATTTCTCACTCTCTCTAACTCTTTCAGCTTCTTTAGGCTTTTATGGTTCACTTTCTATTCCTCTATCTATGATCCTCTTTATGTGGATCGAACTTGAAAGATAAAACAATAATTTGTACTTAATAATAGCGTAAAGTCGACGCCCACGCTTTTCCCGATATTATTCACAATGTTTTCTAATCAAACTCACCCCAGTAAAGCCAAAGTCACAAGGTGTCTCCTGGGTGTGGAAGAATTAGAAAACAGAAATGTTATTAAGGATAGAGAACAATAGAAGAGTAATCAGGAAGATAACGATTGGCATCTGTCTATATTTCTATATTATTGTAATTATTTACATTATTTACATTGTTCTGACTCTTGTCCTCATCTTTATTGTCATGTTCACGACGTTTCGACCATTATACACCCCGGGCTTCTTCAAGTGATTGGAATTTCGAACTGAACTCCTTATTTCGTCCACCGGGGTAGGCGTTCTAGTTCCACGTACCATGCCTCTTTCAGTTGTCTCAGTTATCTCCCTTTAACTCAAACACCTGCCGTAGTCAGGTATTGAATTCACAATTCACTGGATCCAACCAACGCCTTTATCCACTGGGCCATGTGTCTTTCAGTGTATGAATTTTAGGGACTTATTAACTTAATGTCTCATTAACCTTTTTTTTATCAGAGCTCATATTGCAATTTTGTTGTTATTATTACTTTTCTGTAGAATTCCGTTTTATTGGTCCCCATATTTCATTCATTTCCAGGCTTGGCCGGCTTCAGATTTTTGTGGCCTAGCATATGTGGCCTAGAATATGCTGATTCCTTTAGTTTTCGTATCTTCCATGATGTTCTGTCTATTATTTCAATGCCACGGTGGGGTGGTGATCTCTCTTTTCCCTCCATATGTGGTTAGCTACGCCTGATTTTTCTATTTGTCACGGCTTTAAATGTTCTTTCAGTTTTACCTTAAGGGGCCGGCATGATTCTCCTTTATACTTCTTAGCATAGCTGCATGGGATGGCGTACACACAGTCCTTAGTCACGTTCTCCTCTAAACGTTATGAACAGGACAATAAAGATGAGGACAACAGCCCGGCGTATGTAAATAATAACGATTGATATTGCATTTACATTTTCGTCCGGAAAGCGTGGAGCAAAAACAAACAATAAGTGCGAGAGAAGACACTGTTAGAACTGGCGACTGCATATTGCCAATTCAACAGTAAATTGATGAGACCTAGCCGCCAATCTAGTACTGTACTTAAACTCATAAAGACTAGATACCATAGCGGAGAGTTCATCACCATTACCATGAAAGTATTTATAAAAAAAGCAGAGGGAAGCTACGTTACGGCGATGGGAAAGAGAATGAAGTTGAGATGCCAGATCAGAACCAATAATATTGCTGATTCTTTGGATATTATCAAGAATCTCTAAATATATTATAGCAAGAGCACCGGACCATATGTGTCAACAGTATCAAAAGCATAGACGAAGGCTAGAAAATAGATTCTGGAGATAAAAAAAAAAAATGTCTCCGTCCTGGGTATGACGACAGACTACATCCGCGTCCAGGGTAAGACGATAAACTACATCCGCGTCCAGGGTAAGACGATAAACTACATCCATCAGCAAGGCCTCTGATCAGGAGGTTTTGAGGAGCGTGGAGCCAACTCTTAATTGCTGGTGTTCCCAGGTCCACCCTGACCCGGAGTGGTAGCACCTGTTAGGGTCCCAGCTATTGGCAAATAGTTAACCCTGAAACTGAGGTAAAAAGCATTATGAAAGTGTAAAACTAGGTTTTAATACCAGAAATACTTTGTAAAACTTTGTAAAATTTTTGAAGAAGAAAAAATATTACCAGCAATACATTTTTTGAAAATAATATTACCAGATTTTTTTGAGGAAAAAATATTACCAGAAATAGATTTTTGATTAAACAAAAATATTACCAGGAAAAAAAAATTGTCGGCATTAAATGACCCATTAAGGTTTATATACCGTACAACAAAACATACAAACAATAAAAACATGTCTAGGATGACACAGTGAATCCACTTTCTTAGCAGCTGGCCTAGCAATGGATTCAGTGTAGTGTTTCCACTTCACATCAATCGAGAATGTTAGTCTGGAAAGGCGCAACGAGTCACTCTCTTGGAGGTTAGCATCAGCCATGCTGTTGGAAGACACAAAAAAGGGTCTCTCAGATGATGATAATCCGATTTCTCAAGGGAGATAACTCCTGCTATACTGAATGCTAGTTACAGAACAATTTCGCGTATTTATTTATTTGCAAATAGTTTTCTTTCTAGGCGAATCAAAAAAGAGACCACGTGAAAGTGCAATCGGACTATTCGACTAATAGAAGATTGTTGTTCGAATAAACAATTAAAATGTTTTCTTATTACCATTAAATAAACAATTAAAATTTACCATTAAATAAACAATTAAAATGAATTATTATTACCATTAAATAAACATTTAAAATTTACCATTAAATAAACAATTACCATTAAATAAACAATTAAAATATTTTCTTATTACCATTAAATAAACAATTAAAAATTAATTATTATTACTATTAAATAAACAATTAAAATGTTTTCTTATTACCATTAAATTAATTTAAGTTTGTTACTTAAGACATATTTTATTTGAACTTGCAGTATTTAAATTCTATTGTAAAAAAATCTTTTTCAATGTGAAATTAATAAAAAGTTGTTTTTTATAAGGCGATAATGCCACTAAGACGTAAGTGGATACTAGGAGTGAAAGAGAATGAGAAGATTTTAGAAGAAACCGGATACCCAGCCCTAAACAGGAAACAAGGGATAAAGCTCTACTTCTGTTCAATATAAAATTATATAAAAGATATAAAATTAGAGTAGGTACTCCGGGTTTTGGGTACGCCGTTGACCAAACTATTTATCCATTTACTGTAGTCAAATTAACCTCAAAATTAGGTCTTCAAAGGTTGCATAATATGCTAGTAAATACGGTAATTTATATATGTGGCAGAGAGAGTCTGGGAAACACACAAACACACACACACACGTATATTTTTTTTAGTGAAATTGGAGTGGATTTGAAAAGCGAAATTAGATCCGAACCTACAAAAAAAGTTTACTGATGGTGAAACCTGATCTATGGCAGAAGTTGTACCCATTGAATCTAGGTCATCAGAAGACAATGGAAATGGACGAAATAATTTGTATTGATTAAAACTTGGAATAGAGCTGAGTAAGCAAGGAGGACCTTTAGAATTCACATGATTTTGGTTGAAACAGCCAAAGCCCCGTGTAATCGCGTGCGAAGTAGTAGGGCCAAGGGTCGGTTATGATCAGCCGGGTTTTTCTATATAAACGCGTAGTTATGTTGAAAAAGAGGCAGGCGGAAGAGAGAGAGAGAGAGAGAGAGAAGAGAATTAGCCCGGGCAAGAGTTGGGCTAGAGACAGTGGAGAGTAGAGTTGGAGACTCAAGAAGGAGAGAACTTGACGTCAGAGATGGAACGAAGCGTCTGCTATAATATACTGTTGATATAAGTACCGCTGTTTCTGCTATCACGAATATTACTACTACTGTTACTACTTCTAAGGAGGAACGCCACTATAAACTTTAAGCTGCGCACAGAAATCTTATTCCCCCATTGCAAGAGTCGTATATCGTTCTGAAACGATTTAAAAACAAGTTAATTATAACACTCTCTCTATCTGTCCAGAATCCAGTGTATGCATTTTTACGTCAAT